CCTGAAACAACCTCTGGACTGATCTAAGTCAGGGCATGGCTAACTCACAGATAGAACCCTGAAACAACCTCTGGACTGATCTAAGTCAGGGCACGGCTCAAACAAGAAGAGAGGAATTTTCACATGATATTGAATGTTTTTTCGTTATTCAGGTTCAGAGAGCTTTTGCGCAGGCCATCACTGCCATGGCACACCACAGGTACCTGGAGTTAGAAGGAGGAAACAAACTATTGGAGTTTATCATCAGACAGTGTGCTCGTCCTGACGACAATGATGAGGTATCAACTGAGCTGTAGGAGTATATACTCCCATTTCGAGTTCGCCTTTGCTTGGTCTTAGTCTCGATTGTGTACCAATGTCTTCTTTTCTTTTATTAAGGTCCATTATATAGTAGAGAATGTACGTACTACTGAACAATACGAGTTGATTAAAATGCCACGGGTTTTGGTTGAATGGCTGAATATTCACAACCGAGACTAAGGCTTAGCAAAGACAACTCGAAACTAGAGAGTTCTTGTGGGGGAGGGTGAGTTATATAAACCCCAACCCCCCCTCCCCCAATGACTGCTATGTCAATGAATTGAATGACGAAGTGATGACGTCACAAAATTTTCGAATTTATGTGACGTCAAAAACTGTGGGTATGTGGCGTTGTGTGAAATTTCAGTGATACGTCACAATCGTTAACATATTGGCCATCACTCAAACCAAGAAATATTTTAACATTTAACTATTTACTTCTTGTAGAATCGGTACTGAAAGAATTGTCAAAAGGTTCGCTTGGGATGGGCCAATAGACCTTATTCGTGGTGTGACAATGTTTTCCCAATTGACATGACAAACCTCGGAACGGGGTTCGAAACGGGGGAATGAAGAGCTATTGTTTTGAAACTCGKCGGGATGTCGTCGTTATTCCTTTCGTACCCTTTGGGATACTCATGAATTTTTCGAAGAGTAAAATCAAAAGAAAATGAATCCTCTGGAGGTTTGTCACGCTGAATTGGGAAAACATTGTCACACCACGAATAAGGTCTATTGGCCCGAAAGCTTGGGTATTAAAAATATCAAATAACACGTAGAAGACACGTTTAAATCTTTGATAACTATGACACCTACGTACAACATTCTCAATTGAAATAATAATTGTTAATTCATCCACCAGAAACGTCGTCCTACAGACCCAGACCCAGTCTCCTCACGATCTTTACGTTTGATGTGCTCAAATATCCTTCACTTACTCACGACTACAGTCGATGTCATGGAAGGGGTAAGTCGATATTTATTTAATACTCTCCTCTTGAATCAAGGGCTCAATGACAGGGGAGAAAAACGGTTTTTGGCCTTTCGTCATAAGGACAGCTTTACGTCTTTAAGCTCAACATTTTGTAAACACGTTCTTTTGGAGCCAAATAGCAAATATCAAATGCGACCAAAAGCTGTGTACTTTGGGGGAGGTGATATATTGATCAGCAGAAAAACTGTCATTTTTGTGAATACTAATAAGCAGCCTTATCCAACAATATTTCGTCACCAGTTTCGAGCAGCAGTGACACAAATGAAATGCTTAAAAATTTGGAGTATTAAACTCAGTTAAATACAAATATCGTGAAAGTAGCGGACTTATCGTTTTTCTGCCCTGTCACACACACCTCTATCCTCTGCGGTCTCCGATTGGATTCCAGGACTTGGCATCACATGTGAGTAGAGGTTGTCAGGCGTCTCCCTTGATTAGAGGGTTTTTCTTCCGGTTCTAGGGTTTTCCTTCCTAACACTAACACGCTAAATTTTAAGTCAATTCGTGAGTTAGCACCTGTGTTCTGAGTGAGAGCAACCTAGAAGTTAGATACACCTAACTGCAGGAACTTTGTCGTACAAAAAAATTAAAAACAACGAAATAACAAAAAGGAATTAATGTAGTACTTTTTAAGCAGTTGTTTATGCGTTTCTTAGAAGGACACGGGCATTACGCGTTCAGACGCGCCATTTGATTTAGTGCGAATAACTAATGACGTATAAAAAGGGCCCACTAATACCACCTTAGTTATCCTCCTTATATGAGGGTATAGAAACTAACCAGCAGAAGGACAGTCGCTCAAAATGGCGACAACAGTCGTCACTGCATTCATGGATGAGACGCAATCGACAAATACACCTAAATCCAAAATGGCGCACGGTAGGTTGAAAACGAGACATCCAGGGCCAAATTTACAAATTTACAGTATTTTCTTATAACTTGATGCTGCAAAATTCCGCGTTCCTGAGGCGGTAAGAAGAAAAGAAAGACAGAACAAGTGAACAAGTGTATACTTTGCATTGACACCCTATTTTTTCTTTGCATTTGGTCCTGGATGCCTTGTTTTCATGTAACACACTCAGGCGTGCGCCATTTTGGACTAGGTGTATAATTCCGTTTATCTTTCAGGTCCTTTGGCCCAGCCTTCTCGAGTTCTTGGTCCCAGAGCCTTTCACTAATGCTGTGTCCGTACTATGTAAGAGCCTGTGTTATATTGCTGCAAAGAAAAGAGAACAGGAGGGGGATGACTACAACATTGATTTTGAAAACCAAAGTAAGTAGAAACTCGATGTTCACTGACAGCAGAATCTCATGGAGCAGTTTTCGCATGACTGTGAAAATCTCAGTGCCGGAAGCGTGCCGTGCCGTGCCCGTGATGTTTTCCAGAATTTTAATTGGGGGATTTGTTTTTTCTCGCGCAATGTGATAGGTCTGACCAGGGGTGGATCAAGGGGGGAGGGTCTGGGGCTTTAGCCATATATAGATTTATTTGATCAAAGTAATGGATTTATAGTAGAATGAGCCGTTATTAACAATTCAAGTTTTCGCTTGTAAGTCTTCGCTCTGCTGAGGTCTACTGAACTTACTAATTTGTGGAAATTTGTGTAATTTCTTACAAAGTTGTTCACGGATATATGTTATGCACTCTACTGATTATAATAACTAATGATAATTAAAGATATAATAATACTTTGCTATCATCCTTATTTTTGCAGCAAATGTTCCTAAACCACCAGCAATAATTGCACGATTGATGGTAAGAAAAGCGAAAGAAATGGCCTGGTTTTCGTATTTGTATCCTGTTTCATATCACGTCATTCTCTTTAATATTTCTGTCCCCCCTGTAACTCTTAGACGACAAGCTACTATAAATAGCAGGATGTCATGTACTTTTGTCGCGGACTACTGATGTGTTGCAAGCGTTCCCAAGGGAATCAAAAAACAAAAACATGGCGGCCATCGTGGTGCCGTTAACGATGGATGCTAATGAGAAATCTTTTGTTAAATGATACCAACATGGCCGAGATGACGTAACGTGCAATCGAAGAATAGCTAATCATGTGACCTATTGTGCGACACTTACAACATTTACATAAGGGGCTAATGATAAACTTGCTTCAAGCTACGGATACGGTATCCGGCGTTTTCTATATTTTTTAGGCCTACAGTGAGGGCAGGGGTTACCCAACTCATATTATGTACAGTTTTTATTCGTTTGGGAGACAGATAGCCTCACCCTCAGGTAGTTCTTTTGACTCTAAAATATTCTTATTTCTCCAGATCATGTGTGGTCACCCTTTGGAAGGAGGTGGGCGTGGCATTCACGTGCTCAAGCTGTTGATGGCTTTGGCACCCATTTTACAGAAAGATTTGGTGGAAATGTGGGATACAGTGATCCCTAAGCTTCTACAGTACCTTGAAGGTGAATAAAGTATTCCTGTTTTTAAGATAATTGTTTGTTTGCAAGCATTCCCTACTCATTTATTAAATACCACCAATATGGTGGCGATGACATAACTTGCAAATGTAGAAAAAAAGATACTCTTAAATATGGTGAGTGTCAATTAAGGATATCCTTGACCTTATTTAAGAGTATCCTTTTTCAAGTCAGCATATTTAAGGGTATCCTTGACAATATTTAAGAATATCCTTTTTTCAGATAGTTTTACTTCAAATAAGAACCGTTTTCAAATGAGCTTTTAGCCGCCATATTGAATACTCAACACGTCTTCGTCGGAGCACGTCGTCGGATAGTCTCTTCTTATCTCTTCGGAAACATCATAGGAAAATTTGGAACTAGTCCCCCTCGGACATCTTACTTATCCAGCCACGACCATAGAACTATTCTTATGCGCATGCGTATTCGTATTTGTCGTATAGTAAGTTGTCTCATTTTACTAGCTTATTGCAGTTTTTCCCTACTAATATTTTCTCCTACTTAAAAATTTTGAAATAATTAGAAAATGAGACCCCAATTTTTTTTTGGACCCCAAGTTCATGTAAATCCAAGTCGTGTAAAGGTTTTCAAAAGCATCCCACATGGAAACGGAATCATCCTTGGTCCTTAGTTTTCAACGACACATGCTATATTTGGGACTGCTGATCATAGCAAGGGGTTAATCATCTACGGTCTAGGGGCCGACTAACCTCTCCCTTAGGCTTCGGCCGAGCTTCCTGATCAGTCTGTAATTCCCCCCGGGATAGCGGTGTTGGGGTCGAAATCTCCAGCGTAGCCGTAAGTCCATACGACGGTTCAGCATTCGATGTCTGGAAGTATGGTCCTGGTTAATTCATTAATCAACAAAATAATTCTTAAAACAATTCCTCCTTAAAGTTGGACTTTTAAAGTTTAAGACGTTCACGGACATTGTTCAAGAGCATTCTTTCAACACATAAGTTTAGTGCGCTTGTGCTCATCGTGATGACGTCATTCAAACGTTTTAATGAGCAAAAGTATCATGGAAACGTCTTCAAACTCTTATAGCTCTTAAGCACATGGCTATGACCAATATTTGAGGGAGAGTAAAAGAACTACTTAGGACGTAAGAAAACCGTCTAAGGCAGTGACCACCCTCATTGTGTACACCTTGTCGCGTACTAACCACCTCTCATGATTATTCAATCGACAGTTTTCTCAAGCTATCCAATTTGGCAGGCCTCAAAACTGAAAAACACAAATTCAGTAAAATTGAGAATCCAGTTATATATTTAAAGAGGAAAATAATCAATTTCATGGATTCTTAATAAAAAAAAATTCATAGCAATGCACGATAATACTCATCATAAAGCTCGTCCTGGTATCGTGGCCCGTCAAGTTCCTTAAATTTGGATGCGCACGCAACTTTGAGAAAACGTCTATTGGTTAAGCAATCTGAAATACATAACTTCATGAAACGCACCTTCGATTATATATGCATAGAAAATGTGCTGTATATTAATTTATCATTACCATTACTATATAAACGCGAAAAACAGTCACTAGTTATTCTATTAATCAAATATTTGTTTGACCAGAAAACTCCGAATCGCCTGAAAGTTGGAATCAGAAAGCTTGGGAAGATTTGGCATTAAAGGTAAGATTAAGGTTGGGCTGTTGTACTGTATTTATATATAAGGAAATAGAGGAAGGGCAAGGGGGTCGGTGAAAGCACTTAAAGGGGCACCACACCCCTGAAACACGTCCACTATAACATCGAGATATTTATATAAAAATTGTGTTCGCAAAAGTATTGTATTAATCCTCACCTTTTTGTATAACGTGCGCCTTTTTTCTGACCCTCACCCAGTGACAGCTGTGCATGGGCTTCAGTCTTTTGTTTCTTGATTTGTCCAGGGGCAGATCCAGGGGTAGTTAATGGTGTAGCTAGCCACCCTCTTTTGCTCAAATTCTCAGTATTATATAAAGGTTAAAACGCTAGGGCGAGGGTTTGCATCCCCCTGTTAGCATCAATGCTGAATTCAAAACCCGGGACAGGTTTTCTATCAAAACCAAACCCGACATCAAACAATAGAAATAGGGCGTGGTTGGTTTTTATCCTTAGTAAGCCACCCACCATTTCCTCACAATCCTGATAAAACCTTTTTTATAGTCACCCCATAAATAAATTCATGGATCTGCCAGTGATGTCTTAATGTATTGAGAACAAAATTGTCAAGAACCTCTTATCATCTGACCCTTACCGAGCGCTGTGGACGCCGTTTTTTGTCCCAGATATTAGAAACCCTCGTCCATTAATATTCCCTCCTTAGTAAAGCCATCCAACCCTCCCCCTCCCCCCTCCAATGTCTGAATAAATGGATTTTTCCTATAGATTTTGAAAAATGAACTCGTTATTTCATTGATAGGAATGTTCAAATCATTTTTCTTTCCTGTCGTGTAGCTTTTGTCTAAAAGTCTTGATGAAGTGGAGTCTGAGGAATGGGCATGCGCAGTTGGTACAGAAATTGGCAACCAGGTTGTCTTGTACAATAATCTACCACACAACAAGGTACAGAACGAATGAGAAGGAAACTTGCGTAAATAGAGTTCTCAGTATTTTGTTTGTTTGTTTTTT